GACAGTGGTAATCTGAAGGCCACGTGTAGACGGCGGTTCCAGCTGGCCTGTGCTCTGTTTATATGTCGTGTCCTGCTGTTAAAGCCCAACGCTGAACTGCCCTGATGGTCCTTTTAGCCTGAAAATGGGCCACAGACGGAGCCCTGGGGGACCCCGGCATGAACGTGCCATCATAAATATGCAGTGTTTTGGCTGGAGTGCCAGCGTGAGTTTTTAGACCTGATGAAACGCGTGATCTAGTCTGTGAAGAGCACTGTAGTGTCTTTACTGTCGTGGGTGCCAGACCACCGTCTGATGCTGAGAGAGCTGCAAGACGTTGTCTGGGTGTGTTAGTGTTTTGTCTGTCTCGCTCTCTTTTTTTTAAGTTTGTTAAGACTGCACAAAGGCACCAGAAGTTAAAGGTAAATTAAAAGTCAGTGTATATTGGTCAAAAATATCCATTTTATAATTTTAGTTTTATTTTACTTTTGTTTTTAATGCTGGTGTAACATATTGTGAGGTTGTTTTCACACTGATCCAACATTTCATTGGTTATCCTTCCAGGTTCAAAATGATAAAAATAATAGTAATAATAAATAAATAAAAAGGAAAATAAATAAATAAATGAGAATAAGTACCTCTCATTTGTAAAGTATATCAGTTAGTGTTATTTTGGTATTATTTATATACTAGTATAGCTTTTTAATATTTTGAAATATCTTTTATTTATATTTTCAGTTTTTGTTTTAATTTTAGTTTAACTTTTAACAATTTTGTTATGTTTTGTATCTTTCATTGGTTAGTTTTTTTTTGTATATATTTATATTTTATATAGTTTTATAAGCTATATTTTTATATAGCTTTAATTTATTTTAATTAAAAAAAAATTTCAGTTAGTTGCCAAGGAATCATTGCTATTTTATTTTATTGTATTCTTTTATTTTCATGTAAGATTTGTATTTTATTTTACTTCAGCTTTATCTTGAATTGCTGGAAATGATTTTTAATAGTTTTAATTTCAGTTAACAACAGCAGTCATGACATTTCAGTAAAATTCAATGAAATATATACAATTGATTTAATTGTAATAAATGTTCCATTTTAATTTTCAATTACATTTATTTATATTTTGTATTGTATTTATATATCTATTTTCAGTTAAATTTTGTGATCTATACCAGTGTTTCCCAACCGGGGTGCCGCATCTGTCGAGAGCAGGGGTGCCGTGTAAAAAATCCTTTTTTAATATTTTTAAATTGCTAAAATGTTCAAAAAAGCATCTATTATATAATATCCATTTCTGATGTCGCCAATAATTAGAGATGCACCGAAATTCCGGCTGCCGAAAATTAGTTCACCGAAAATTAGTTTCACTTTCACGTGGTGTGACGCTCTGCATATTATCCCGCTCTATGCGTGTGTGTGCGCCGCTCAGTCGCTTGCGGCCCATGTGAGTGCTCCACTCATATACCGTTCATGCTCATCGGAACAGCAAAGTCCACTCAAAAATTGAGCCGACAGGAAACATCGATGTAGTACAGTATTGTTTCTGTCTGCAATAGCCCTACTGTGCTGTAACAAGGTGTGGTAAATGGGCAACTCTGGTAACGCTGCCCTCTCATTCATTGATCTGCTAACCGTTATGCTCATGTGTCCTCTGATGATAATAGCTTTCTAGGATTAAACATTATTTGGATAATTGGTAAAAAAAAAAAAAAAGTT